ATGCTTTTGAGAAGAAGCAGGAGGTGGCGCGCGCCAGCTGATCGGCAGGCCACGTGCTCCTGGCTGATCAGCTGAAGGGCCCTTTAATAAATCCTGCAGGGGGGGAGGGAGAGGGGCACATGTCGCCCCCCCTTCCTTACAGCAAGTCATGGCATCCCCACCAGAAAAGCGTTTGCCCCACAAGCCACAAACTCCTGGCAATGGGCCTGCAAATCTCTGGGTCGGAGGCCGCCCTGGATTGCTCGCGTAATCAGAAGCTGTAGGCAGACTGACCTTTCAGCACCGAGAGGTGGCAGATGGGAGTTCCGAGGGCCTAGGCACGTGCAGGGGGCTGCAAGGAGTGCAGAGGCATCTCCGCCACGGGCTTCTTTTGTGTGTCGGGCAGGAGCTGTAAGCAGCTGATGTAAAGGTAAAGGTTCCCTTGCTCGAAAGCCAGTCGAATCTGACTCTAGGGCTGCGGTGCTCATCTCCATTTCAAAGCCGAAGAGCCGGTGCTGTCCGAAGACGTTTCCGTGGTCATGTGGCCGGCATGACTAAACACCAAGGTGCACAGAACGCTGTTACCTTCTCACCGAAGCGGTACCTATTTATCTACTTGCAGTTTCTTGCTTTCGAACTGCTAGGTTGGCAGGAGAAGCAGCTGATTTAGGGTGACCCAATAGAGTTTGCAAGGTAAGAGGTGAACAGAGGGGGTTTGCCCGTGTCTGCCTCTGCGTAACAACCCTGGGCTTCCTCGGTGGTCTCCCATCCAAGTACTAACTAAGTACCACCCAAGATCTGAGGAGATCGGGCTTGCCGGGGCCATGCAGGTCAAAGCAAGAGACTAACAGAGGTGGGTTTGCCCTTGCCTGCCTCTGCATAGTGACCCTGGACTCCCTTGGCGGTCTCCCATCCAAGGACTAACCAGGTTTAAGCCAGGCTGCAAGAGAAGTCAGCCCAGGATCAGCTGTGCCCGTGGGGAGCAGACTGTTTCCCGCAGGCACAGCTTTCGGCGTGCAATTTCCCCCCCACACTTTTTTCTTCTTCTCGGGTCTACTGGACCTTGAAAAAACTGGGATTTCTGAAAAATCCCAGATCCAAATGCCACACCAGTATTGGAGTCCAGGAATTTTTGGGAATCCAAACATTTTTTTCCTGTTCAGTATACCCAAGGGGTCATTTCGTAGAAAAAGAGGTGCAGGAGCTCATTAGCATAACTCATTAGCATAACTTATTTGCATAGGCCACATGTGCAGATCCGTCCTCGCAGAGGAGGGAGAGCTTGTACCTGTAGGCAGGCTGGGGAGGGGGGGCTCTGCAACTTACCTGGCTGCTTCTTGCTCCTCGTGGCCCAACTGAGGGCTGCTGGGAGCAGGGGGCGGGGCTTGTTGCATGTGCCCTGCCCCCTGGGCTCCTTTTTTTTTTTTAACCAGAACATTTTATTCGTATTCAACCATAAAGTATAACAGCAAACAGCAAAAGTTATAGAAATCCACTTATCCTACCAATGCAATCAAATATACAATCAAAGAGAGGTTCCACGGAACAAAGCCATAAAGGTCATAGAAACATTAACCCAATAGCAACAACTTATACTTCGCATTGTAAATAGTTTTCCAGTCAAAATCATCAAAAGTGAGTTTTTCGATGATGGGATACCATTTCCCAACAGGACTAAGTATTTCACAGGCCCCCTGGGCTCCTTACTGCCGGAGCTCCGCTCCCATGCGCTCCCGCAGGAAATGACCCCTGATACCCAAGGCGGGGGGATGAGGAAAAAATTGCATACCCCTAATGGCTAACCTTTGAGACTATCTTCATGTGAAAACGGGTACCCTTGATATAAATGATGTGACAAAATGGTTCTGTGGCAGAGGATGAAGCTCCGGCAGCCGGCAGGTCGGCTTGCATTACAGCTGGATTTGCAGAAGTTTCCTGTTCACTCTTAACATTTTGGTTACAAACGTGCTGCCCCTCATGCATTCTTATCTCCAAAATTCTGTACGTTCAGGTAAAGATACTGTGAGATCACTCCATCGGCTGCCTTTGGTGATATTTGTTCCGGTGTTTGGTGGGTTAAATGAAGCACGTCCCAAAGCAACTGATCCTCAGGTGGCACATTTGGGAGTGAGACCTGCAGAAGCGTCTTATGCAAAGTCATTAAGCCCCTGGGCACCCGTGGGAGACTGAGCATTGGTTCTCCTGCACGTTGGACAAGTTTTAGCAATGTACTTTGTGGTAAAAAGTCCTCACTATACAGATAAAGTGATGGCCTAACAGACCTCACAAGAATGTTGTGACAAAGCTCTTCTTTACATGTGCTGCAAGAAAATCCAAAGCGACGGGGACTCACAAGCAACGAAAACGAGAGAGCAGAAGAGCCCTTCCTCTGGCCTCCTGTGCGGAATCTGTTACCAGGGATATGGAGGGAGGAGATACAGTCCCAAAAGGGCCCTCATTCCCTCCGCCCCTCCCTCTGTCACTGTTCCAAAGGAACCTGTGTCATTTGAAGCTCAGGTTGCCAACTGGCCAGGAGGGAAATACCAAGTCCTTTTGTTTCACTCGTTTATTTAAAACATTTATTAGACGCCTTTGTTCCATGCAGAACTTAATAACTTTGTTATGGACCTTTAATGACTAGCAGGGGTCATTTCGTAGAAAAAGAGGTGCAGGAGCTCATTAACACAACTCATTAGCATAACTTATTTGCATATGCCCCACCCCATGACATCACCGGAAGTGTGTCAGAAGGCGACACCCACCACTCAGGCTCCACTGGACTGTTTTGGATTGCTAGCGATTGGGGGGGGGGGACGTGCAGATCTGCCCTCGCAGAGGAGGGAGAGCTTGTACCTGAATACAACTTGGTCGTAAAGGTGCCATTTGACTGTTTGGACCGGGGGCTGGGGGGGCTCTGCAACTTACCTGGCTGCTTCTTGCTCTGACTGAGGGCTGCTGGGAGCAGGGGGTGGGGCTTGTTGCATGTGTCCGCCCCCTGGGCTCTTTACTGCCGGAGCTCCGCTCCTGTGTGCTCCTGCAGGAAATGACCCCTGTTGACTAGAGAGAAAGGGGTAAATAAAAATTTGCACAGCAGGGAGCCAGTTAGCATCCCCTGGTAACTGTTTCAGATCCAGCTCACGCGGAAGGGACCGGATGAAAAGCTGGCAGGGCAGCTCACCCAGAGGGCCAGGTCTTGAGCCTCTTGTTCTGCTATCGCTCCGTCCGGCATCCGGATGATCGCAAGTTGCAGCCCTCGGTCACGCAGGCTGGACCCATTCCACGAAACGTGGGGAGGGCGTCATTATGCCGCAGGGCTTGGGGCCCCACCCACCCACCCGCCTTCACAGTGGCCTTCATCCGGTGCCGTTGTCATTGACATTAAAACCTCACAGATGCCAACTCTGGTATGCAGGTCTGACCTGTTGAGGGGAGGCCCAGGAAAGAGGGAGGGACATCCATTGCCCTAGCTAAAAGCCTGGCGGAAGAGCTCCGTCTTGCAGGCCCCGCAGAACTGTAAAAGGTCCTGCAGGGCCCTGATCTCCTCCGGGAGCTCATTCCAACAGGCCCTAGTCAAGGCAAGGCAGATGTCCCTGGGGCCAGGAACCACAAGAAGATGTTGATTGGCAGATCATAAAGCCCTTCGGAGCTCATAGAGGGAGAGGCGGTCTCGCAGATATGTCGGTCCCTGGCCGTAGAGGGCTTTAAAGGTCAGCACCAACACCTTCAAATGGATCCGGTACTCAATAGGCAGCCAGTGCAGTTTGCGCAGCACCGGGCAGGTGTGGGACCGCACAGGCAACAACATGAGTACCCGTGCTGCTGTATTCTGCACCAGCTACAGTTTCTGGAGCAGAATCAAGGGCAGCCCCACATAGAGAGAATTACAATAGTCTTATCTGGAAGTGACCACTGCACTGTAGCCAGATCCCGGGGAGTGAGATATGGGGCCAACTGCCTGATCTGTCTCAGATGGAAGAAGGCAGACCTGGCAGTGGCGGCGACCTGGGCCTCCATAGAGAGGGAGGCATCCAGGAACAGCCCCAGGCTCTTTACCCTCGATATCGGGACCGTTGGAGCCCCGTCGAAGGCTGAAAGCCCGATTCCCGATCCCAGTCCCCAACGACCTCCGTCTTCGATGGATTCAATTTCAGTCTGCTGTGTTGTAACCAACCAGCCACGGCTTGTAATGCCTTGTCCAGATTTTCTGGGGCAGAGTCCGGGTGGCCGTCCATCAGTAAATAGAGCTGAGTGTCGTCTGCGTATCGGTGACACCCCAGCCCATACCTCCGGGTGATCTGGGCGAGGGGGCGCATGTGGATATTAAACAGCATTGCGGAGAGAATCGACCCCTGCGGCACACCACATTCTAGCAGATGTCACTGAGATAATTTCCCCCCCCCAAGCGCCACCCTCTGTCCCCGACCTTGGAGAAAGGAGGTCAGCCACTGCAAGGCAAGCCCCCTTATCCCCACATCGGCGAGGCAGTGGGTCAACAGATCATAGTCAACCATATCGAACGCCGCTGACAGATCAAGGAGTATCAGCAGTGCCGATCCACCTCGATCCAGGTGTCTCCGAAGGTCATCCACTAAGGCGACCGACACTGTCTCCGTCCCATTGGCAGGGCGAAAACCGGACTGGAAGGGATCCAGGATATTAGGATCCTCCAGGAAAGCCTGGAGCTGTGTTGCTACTGCCTTCTCCACCACCTTACCCAGGAATGGTAGATTAGACACTGGGCGGTAGTTTGTAAGGGCCATAGGGTCCAAAAAAGTTCTTTTTAGGAGGGGGTAGACTATAGCCTCCTTCAATCCCTCTGGGAAGGTTCCCATTGATAGGGACAGATTGATAATCTCCCTCAGAGGGGTCCGCACCTCATCGCCGCAGGCTTTCACCAGCCACGATGGGCAAGGGTCAAGGAGGAGTGGAGTGGGCTTCACAGCCGCCAGGGCCCTGTCAACTTCTTCCTGGGTGGAGCAGACTGAAAGGGTCCACCCAGAAGACGGCCAAGGGGCTTCCAGTTCATGTCGGACGGGACATCCCACGTCATCACAGATGCCTACGCCGGCAAGGAGTACATCATCCAGGTCGCGGCCAAGGACAACGAAATCGGCACATGGAGCGATTGGAGCGTGGCTGTGCATGCCACTCCCTGGACAGAGGAGCCCAAGCACCTCACCACCGAAGCCCAAGGAACAGGTGAGGAGCGGGCCTGAGGCAGGGCCTGAAAGGGAGGGTTGGGACCGAGCGGCTGGGCATTGAGACCTGGGAGGCTACCGCAGCCCTGCCCAGCTGCCTCCCCTGGCTGAGGAACTGGGCTGCCCCAGGGTGGGGGTGGGGGGCTTCCAGTGGAAGGGGGAGTAGAGAATGCTGCTGGGGAGGTTGACATGGGGCCACTGTTCCCTCTAAGCTGAGTGAGTGTGGGCCGGCTCACAGTTTTTTAGCCTCCGGCTCACCCATTTTGGTCTCCGCTCAGGAAGGATGGGGCTCCCGAGCAAACTAACTGATGCAGCGGCCAAATCGCTCGCTCACAACTTTAGTGCCAGTAGCTCACAAAGTAGGATTTTTGCTCACAAGACTCCACAGCTTAGAAGGAACATTGCATGGGACCCGAGCAATTCAGAGCCCCCTCCCCTGGCCCGCTCTGCACGCCGAGTGTGGGGAAGCCCGAGTTCAGAACTAGGGAATATAAGGACAGGGGTGAGGAGGGCAGGTGGGTCAGAAGGTATTTAATTTCAGTCTGTTGCCGCTCGCCCAGGAACCCAGCCAGGGTTCCCTCCAAGCTGAGTTAGTGTGAGCTAGCTCACAGTTTTTTTAGCCTCCCGCTCACACAGTTTTGTCTCAGCTCAGGAAAGATGGGGCTCCAGAGCAAACTAATTTATACAGTCGCCAAACCGCTCGCTCACAACTTTAATGCCAGCAGCTCACAAAGTAGGATTTTTGCTCACAAGAGTCCACGGCTTAGAGGGAACAACCTCCCGAGCTCTTTACCAGTGTTCCTTCTAAGCTGCGTCAGCGTGAACCAGCTCACAGTCTTTTCGCCTCCGGCTCACACATTTCTCTCTTCGCTCAGGAAGGAGGGCTCCAGAGCAAACTAATTGATGCAGCAGCCAAATCGCTCGCTCACAACTTTAATGCCAGTCGCTCGCAGAGTAGAATTTTTGCTCACCAGATTCCACCACTTAGAGGGAACATTGGACCCAGCACGGTTGGAAGTATGGCTTAGGACTAGGCAGATCTGGGTAGAGAGCTCCCCTCCGCATGAGTGCCCTCAGGCCAGGCTCTTTCTCTCAGCCCGGCCTTCCTCGCAGGGCTGTTGAGAGGATAGACTGGAAGAGGGACGAACCGTGGTTGCCACTGTGAGCAACTTGGAGGCAAGGTGGGAGACCAACATGCTGGCTAGGCAGACAGGCAGTGCCTGGGCTTGACGAGAGCCTGATAGGGCAAGGCTTCCGAGGGGTGCCAAGCCTGGTGTGGGTGAGGCCCTGGACTCAGCACCCGGGATACTGAGCAGTTTGTTGTGGATACTGAGTAACGAGTGACAGTTAGAGCCAGTTGGGGAGACCCTGGGGTCCTGTTGTTGTTGTTCAGTCACACAGTCGAGTCCGACTCTTCGCGACCCCATGGACCAGATCACGCCAGGCCTTCCTGTCTTCCACCGTCCTTCCTGAGGGACCCCTTTTTCCTCCGGGAGACCAGGGTAACCCCCACCCTTCCTGGGGCTTGTAGGGAGCCACAGGGTGTCACTTTCGTTGGGGGGACTACGAGGGGAGGAACTGGGCCTCATTCAGGTGGTGCTCAGCGCCAGGCAGGCGTGACTTGTAGAGTGGTTCGCCCAGTTCAGCGCAGGCAGGATGGTCACCCTGACCCCATTTGCAGCTCAGGCCTCTCCTGGTGGGACCCCAGCTGACCTCCGCGCCAGAGTTCCTGTGTCCCATCCCCGTGGGCTCCTTGCCTCAGCAACCCGAGATGGGCAGTGATTGCAAGCAGTGTTCCCTCTACGCTGAGTTAGGGTGAGCTAGCTCACAGTTTCTTAGCCTCCGGCTCACACATTGTTGTCTTCGCTCTGGAAGGATATGGGGCTCCAGAGCAAACTAACTGATGCAGGAGCCAAATCGCTCGCTCACAATGTTAATGCCAGGAGCTCACAAAGTAGGATTTTTGCTCACAAGACTCCACAGCTTGGAGGGAACATGGATTGTGATGGATACTTCCCCAGACTCACAACACTGAAAATAAATCAGCCGGTATCATCATGTCCCTGTATAAATCTATGGCGTGGCCTCATTGGGAATGTTGTGTACAGTTCTGGTCACCGCACCTCAAAAAAGACATGATAGCCTTGGAAAAGGTGCAGAGAAGGGCGACGAAAATGTTGGGGAGATGGAACACCTTCTCTGTGAAGAAAGGTTAAAGACGTCAGGGCTCTTTAGCTTGGGGAAAGGACGACTGAGGGGTGACATGACAGCGGTTTACAAAATTATGCATGGGATAGAGAAGGCAGAGAAAGAAGCCCTTTTCTCCCTTTCTCACAATACAAGAACTCGTGGGCACTCAACGAATTTAATGTGGAGTCACCTTAGAACAGATAAAAGGAAGTCCTTCTTCACCCAAAAAGGAATTAACAGGTGGAATTCACTGCGGCAGGAAGTGGTGGCAGCTACAAGCATGGATGGCTTCAAGAGGGGGTTGGATAAATGTATGGAGCAGAGGTCCATCAGTGGCTATTATAGATGGAACATTCTGTCTGGGGCAGTGATGCTGTGTTCTTGGAGAGCCAGTTTGGTGTCGTGGCTAAGTGTGCGGACTCTTAATCTGGGAGAACCGGGTTTGATTCCCCACTCCTCCTCCACTAGCACCTGGCTGGATGTCCTTGGGCAAGCCGTAGTTCTGATAAGAGCCGTTCTTGAAAAAGAGAGCAGTTTCTGTCAAGAGTTCTCTCGGCTCCACCTACCTCACAGGGTGTCTGTTGTGGGGAGGGGAAGGGAAAAGGAGATTGTGAGCCGCTCTGAGACACCTTTGGGTGGTGAAGGGCGGGATATAAATCCGACCTCTTCTTCTCTTCTTGGTGCTTGAGGGGGGGCAACAGTGGGAGGGCTTCTGGAGTTCTGGCCCCACTGACGGACCTCCTGATGTTACCTGGTTTTGGGGCACTGGGTGACACAGAGTGTTGGATGGGATGGGCCACTGGCCTGATCCAGCATGGCTTCTCTTATGCCTGAGGCAGTGATGCTCTGTATTCCTGGTGCCTGGGGGGGGGGCAACAGTGGGAGGGCTTCTGGAGTTCTGGCTCTGATGACGGACCTCCTGATGTTACCTGAGTCTTGGCCATTGTGTGGCACAGAGTGTTGGACTGGAGGGGCCATTGGCCTGATCCAACATGGCTTCCCTTAGGCTCTCCTGAGACTCTGCTGTACCTCTGAATCCCGGATGGTGGGGGCAGACAAGGAAAAGGCAGGCACCCCGCCCTGCACACCAGCTTCCCACAGTAGCTGAGCTGTGGGCTCGATGGCTGCTTGGTCTGAGCCCCCAGTGCGAGGCCTGATGTACACCGTGCCGGCCACGTAGACCTTTTTGCCCCGGGGCAGGCGGACGGCGCCTCAAAGGCTCGTGAGAACGCACCCATTCCCAGCCAGCCAGCCAGAGCAGCCGGCACTTTGACGCGCTCAGATAAAGCACTCTCCGTGTCGCCGCCTGCAGCAGCACAACGGGGAGCCTGTTAGCGAGGAAAGCCGCAAAGTTAACAACACTCTGCTTCTAGGAAGGAGCTGGGCCCGCGTCCAAGTGCATAATGCGCTATCAGCCTCCGGCTTCCCAGAAGGAGGCGTGCTGTGGCCAGGCCGGTCCCATCCGCTGGCACCATGGAGCTCGGTGGCCTGGGAAATCAAGCAGCGACGGCGTCCACTACTAGGAAAGGACTGGGAAGCGCGCCAAAGCCCCCCCGGGGGTTTCTGGCCACACGCACGCGAGGGCGTTTGCAAAGGGACCGGGTTGATAGGCACCTCGGGCACGGCGCTGGAGTCAGTCCTTGGCAGCGGCTGCACGGATAGCGACCCGATCGGAAACGGCAGAGCCTGAAAAGAGAGAGGCGGCGTTTCAGGTCAGACCGGCTCTCCAGCCAGGCCCGTGGCCCATGCCCCGAGAGGCGAGATGCCCGCCAAGGAGGCTCTGTGGCAGCGCAGTGTCCTTGTCGGAGTGGCAGGCTGGGGGCCAGGAGACCCAGCGCCCGATCTCCCCTCGCCAGGATGCTTGGGAGGGGGGGGGTATTTTTATGTATTTATATATTGGTTAGATGTCTCTCTCGTCCTCCCGCCGAAGCAGCTCAGGGCGGCTTACAACAATGATAAATCCAGCATAAATACATACATAAATACATAAAAGGTTAGGCTGAACGTGTGTGTGTGTGATTGGTCAAAGGTTGCCACCTCTGGGTTCGGGAAGTTCCTGGAGACTTGGGGGGGGTGGCAGCCCGGGGAAGACAGGACCTCGGTGGGATTGAATGCCCGAGAGTCCACCCTCGAGAGCGGCCATTCTCTTCAGGGGAACTGACCTCTGCCGTCTGGAGATCAGTTCTCATTCTGGGAGATCGTCTGCAGGCCCCACCTGGAGGCTGGCAACCTTACCCGGGAAACATCTGGGCTGAGTGCAGATTCAAACCTGGGTCTCTTAGGAATAGCCTGACACTCTAACCACGACGCCCTGCTGGCTCGAAGCAGACGGCTGCCTGTGAAACTAAGCTAGGGGTCGACAGCATCCAGGTGGATCCCGGAGGTCTGGAATGACAATTGATTTCCAGATTACAGAGACCAGTCCCCCTGGAGAAAAGGGGCTGCTTTGGAGGGGGGGCTCCATGGCATGGTGCCACGCTGAGATCCCCAAACCACGCCCTCACTTGGATCCATCCCCCAGAGCACTAGGAATTTCGCAGTCCAGAGTTGGCAACACGAGACGCAGCTCCACGGATCAAAATTCCCCATTAATGCTAACACAGTTCTTCTGAGAGGCTGACAAATTCTCCAGCGGCCAGTAGTCTAGCGACAAGACCTTTTTTGTGGTCCAATGCTGCCCTCTGCTGGCCACTTGACCTAACAGGCAACTGAAGGGTGCAACTGGTTTCTTAAGGCTTGCGGTCCTAAATCCTGTTGCCTTACTGGAGGCCTTTGGGCCTTTCCAAATGACCAGAGAGGCCTAGACTACTTCCAGCATCAGAAGCCCCTGGGCGTAATGAAAATTAAAAAATGGTGGCAGTTGAAGTCAAAATAAGGCACCCAGAAAAAAGTGAAACATAATTAAACGCTTGTTTGTTTGTTTATTATTTATTTAGTTATTTAGTCCAACAGGGGTGTGCCTATAAGAACAAGCTGAGAAACTTAATCAGATGCCAAAAAGTTTCAATGCTCCCTGAAGCATCCCCACCCCACCCCGAGAACTGTGTTTGTGACTCTACCAGGGCAGTTTGCAAGTTGTGGTGTTTCCCCTCCTCAGCCTCCCGTCCCTGTTCCACACTTTTCTTCCACTCCTCCCCATATTCTTGTGTTCTGTGTTTCATGCATTTGCTCATTCTGTTTCTGTGCTGCTTCTCCATACATTCTGCTCAAAGCTGTCTGCAAAGTCAAACGTGATAAGAGCATGTTCCGCAGGGCCTGTAAGACGGAGCTCTTCCACCAGGCTTTCGATTAGGGGCCGCCTTAAATACCAAAAAGTGACCCTGTGCCCTGGCTTTACCACCTTCAGCCTGTCTCGCCGCACAAATTAGTCGATCACACTGAGCCGATAGGAGAATACCATCAGGACTACCAACTGAGTAGTGGTATACTTTAATCTAGGAATCTCTGCTCTTGCACTTTACTTGAGTATTGTTCCGGCACTTTAGGAAAATGGTTAACGGACTGTTTATGTTTTCATGTATGATTTTAACTGTATTTTATATGTGCATTTTTATGTCAGCCGCCCTGAGCCTGCCTTGAGCGGTGAGGGCGGGGTATTAATCGAACTAATAAATAAACCAACGCTATAAAAGTTATAACAGTTCACAAGCTAATAAAAGCCCGGTGAGGAATATGCCTCTGACTGCCCCGTGGTGCTTTGGCATACCATCGTGTGCATCTGATCCCTTGTGGTGTGCCCTCTTCAGCATTTCTTGTGTTACAACACAAAGAAGATCTCCCTTGTTGGGGACTGAAATATACTGGATTCGAGACGCGTATAGTGATCAGCTCATGGTTTATTAGTGATTTCAGCTTAACTCTAAGACAACTCTAGCAGGGCCAGAGCCCTGCTTATAGGCATGCAAAACACCCCACCCCACACATACCCACTCCCCGTGATAGGCTATTTACAAAACATTACTACTTGATTGGTTTACTCCAGAGTCCTGGTCGGCTATTGTTCTTGTGCTCCAAGCTCAGCCAGTCTCTAGGATGATTCTATCAGGGATGATTCAATCCCAATACATAACAGGGACCTTTTGAGATATTTGTTGTGCAGGCACAGAAAGTGCCGTTGGGCCAAGTCCCCGCCTTCTGGAGACTCCGTCTTCATGGCGTCCTGCTACATCACAGCCCAGCTGTGCCTCTCAGCATCCACACAGAACATCACGTTTTTTCTTACCTTCTTCCCCACACCCCTGGAGGTCGGAGGAGGCGCAGGCTCAAGGGAGGACTCCTGGCCCCCACCAGTGGGCCTGCGTGTGAGTTGCTCAGCCGTCCCAGGGAGCTGCAGGGGATGTCGGGAGGTGTTTCTGTTCTGCTTCAGGGTATCCCAGTGTTCCTTGCCGATTCTGACTTGCCACACCCCTATGTGGTGGAACTGTATTGGTTTTGGTCTCTGGGAGGCTGGCCAAGGAAACGGCTGACCCATGTAAGAACCGGAGAACAGGGAGAGGAGCATCTCGGAGGAATGACATTCCGTCGTGTGGCTTTCGGAGTTGGGTGAACTCGCCCTCAAAGTGCACCGAGCGCTGGAGAACCATCTCTTCAAGCAGCTTCGGCTCCCTGGAGTGCCGATGAGGTAGGACTCTTCCCCTTCTTGCTTACACTGCATTATTTGAGGGTTTGATCCAAAGGGGGGTTGTTCCATGTGTGGATGATGACTTCTGCTCACGGAACAGCTTGATTGTTGCACAAGGAAAGGAAAGGAAAACCTAAATTTGAATTTCTGCTCTTGCAGTAGATTGGGCAGCCTCATATGGCATCTGTTGCACGAACCACGGTGTTAGAACACCGCAGAACCAGCCCATTATTGCACTGCATGAATTCTTGCACCCGCTGCATACCTTGGGTGGAGCAGTGCTAGTCACTACCTTGCAGAGTGAACAATGAAAATATCTTGCTATCTTGCTTGTGCCAGAGGCTCTTTGGATCCAGACCATCATAAATTGTACCGATCCTTCTAGAGCGTATGGTCTAACATGTTCCTTCCCCCCCTTTTTTTATTCTGCAGACAATCACCGGGTTTGTGAGTCTTGGTTTCCCTAACCGTGTTGAGACTGACAATGGTTCCCACTTTCTCACCTAACCGTGTTGAGACTGACAATGGTTCCCACTTTCTCACCATTTGCCTGATCTATTGATGACCCAGTGACCGACCACGAGGAATTCTTCCTAATGTCCATGCGAGACTCATCTGCAGGCTTTAAAGCACTGAAGTTCTCTGAAGCGGAAAATCCCACAATGCTCTTCTGTCCTTTATCCCTTCCTGACCCCCTGACCTGGGGAAGAGGAGACGTCTCTCGGAATATTGCCACCGTGCTGGCTTGCATTGGAATCCCTCTGGCGTTCATTGGGGCTGTACCATATCCCCTGAAAATGTGGCTCCTGGGCCTCGCTGGATGGAGCAAAGAATGACTCAGATGCCGCCTGAGCCTGCCACAGAATGTTTTTGACTCCGGCAGCTGGATCTCAAAACTGGATGTTATTCCTTTGCCACATAGAATGGGGTGGCTGAGCAAAAAATCTGTGCATCATGCCTCATTCGACACAAGTCTGAGTCTCTTGGGACCTGCTGGAGAGAATATTACCGGGGGGGGGGGCATCACCATGAATTGCCCTTCAGTGCTTGAAGCTCACCCAGGGGTGTCCTAAGAACCCTTTTTCGATGGAAGGCCTTATTGCTATGGAACCACATGATGGCCGCGAAGAAATGCATTTTTTCTTTGGAGGTCTGAAATGAGCCAAGCCTTCACTCTGAGTTTTAAAAGGGTTCTCTCTCTCTCTCTCTCTCTCTCTCTCTCTCTCTGTGGGCAGAGAACAGGCAGGAAGTGGGGAAGTCAGTTCAATTGCTCTCCAGACTTACCTCAGCCCAACTTCACAAAAATGCTAATAAGTCTAGACAGTGGGATGGCCAAGCTCCCGCCCCCCTTCAAGCAGGGAACAGAGATTTGGAGGTGTTAATTACAATAGGATTCTGGAGATTTCAGGAAAAGCTTCTCTGACCTGGCCTGACGTGGTCAGTGGGTGGGGAAAAGAGAGGTGATAAAACTCAGGGGAGCAAGGAGGAAGGTCTCTTTTGCGCTGAGTTCATCAGAGCAGGCAGAACTCTTAACTCGGGTCTAGAGGAGGAGGCCATTAGCCGTGTGCTGGCCTGGACAGCTGAAGGAAGCTTCAAGGTAATGGATAGTCTGTAGAGATACGTAACTTCCTAAGCTAAGGAGCATGTGCTAAACATCTGATGGGGCGTTTATAGAGAAAGGGACACAGGAATTGCATTTTACCCATTTCTATTGAATCCCTTGCTCAATCTGGTGCTGTGCTAAAAGTATGCTTGTGAACATTTTCTTTTTAATAAATACTCTATAACGTTTGGTGCTGGTGGTGGTTCTCTGTACCACATAGACCTCCACTATCTTGGACACACTATTGTAAAAAGAATGCCAGGGGAAAGGCAGGAAGTTGGCAAGTGGCTATTCCTCCAGGGTCGCACAAGGCAGCAAATGGTCCCCGTGATGGGTGACCAGACGCTGGGCAGCGGGAGACACAGAGGCAAGGCCTCAGAACTGGGAAGGGAAGCTGGGAGCCCTGGCCCTCCCAGGGGGTAATCCTTACAAAGGTCAGGTGGTGGCAGCAGGTTACCCAAGAGAGAAATGAAAGCCTCTCCAGGTGTTGGGAAAACCTTTGAGAGCAAGGTGGATCGGGGCCTGGAGTCTGTTTCTCAAGGCACGGGGGGGGGGGGCAGAATATTTTCTGTGCCACTTCCTATTTTCTCCCCAGTGGTGGCACTTAGAGAACAACTTTTCCACAATTGCCCGAGGAAATGTTACCCCGCAGTACCGAGAGATCCATTGGTGGATGTGCTGATTCCACTGCCTGCCAAGCACCAGCCACGATACTCACCCTCTGCCACAGCCGATTCCACAACTGCTGGACGTGGCCCAGGGTTTGCCCCCCCCCTTCTCCTTTAAGACTGCGTGACCACATCCTGGCAGCCATCCTGGATCCGCGAAAGAGGGCATACGGGACCCGTACGTATTAGATTCACTAGATAAGCTTGCAGGTTTTCTTGGTTTGGCACTCCCTCTTTGTACTGAGCGCCTTCTCACTGATGTTTTGTTCCTGCCGTCTTTCAGGGAAAGGCTCTGACGCCCGCCTCAGGAGTGTGGAGGAAAGACTCTCAGAAGTCCTGAAGAGGCTTAAACGCCTGGAAACGCTCATGGAGATTGACTCTGTGCCCGGCAACACCACAGCCAAGGAGGCACCTACCTACCCCCCTTCCCCCTTCTTCTCTCTGATTTCTCGGAGAGCCAGTTTGGTGTTGTGGTTAAGTGCGCGGACTCCAGTCTGGGAGAACCGGGTTTGATTCCCCGCTCCTCTACTCGCAGCTGCTGGATGACCTTGGGCAAGCCGTAGTTCTGACAAGAGCTGTTCTCTCAAGGACAGTTTCTGTCAAGAGCTCTCTCAGCCCCACCTACCTCACAGGCAATGTTCCCTCTCAGCTGTGGAGCCCTGTGAGCAAAAATTCCACTTTGTGAGCTCCTGGCATTAAAGTTGTGAGCCAGCGATTTGGCTACATAAATTAGTTTGCTCTGGAGCCATCCTTCCTGAGCTAAGTCAAAAATGTGTGAGCCGGAGGCTAAAAAAAACTGTGAGCTAGCTCGCACTAACTCAGCTTAGGGGGAACACTGCTCACAGGGTGTCTGTTGTGGGGAGCAGTGTTCCCTCTAAGCTGAGTTAGTGTGAGCTAGCTCACAGGTTTTTTAGCCTCCGGCTCACACTTTTTTTGTCTCAGCTCAGGGAGGATGGCTCCAGAGCAAACTGATTTGTGCAGCAGCCAAATCACTCGCTCACAACTTTAATGCAAGTTGCTCACAAGGAAGAATTTTTGCTCACAAGACTGCACAGCTGAGAGGGAGCCCTGGTGGGGAGGGGAAGGGGAAGTAGTTTGTAAGCCGCTCTGAGACTCCGAGTGAAGGGCGGGGTATAAATCCAGTCTCCTCCTCCTCCTCCAGCCTCCCCCTTTCTCCAACTTAGCCCCTCCCCTCAGAACCCGGCTGCCCAGCTGGGTCAGACAAAGAGGCACCCCTTCTCCAGAGTCCCGTTTCCCCCAGTGGCCGGCCGGCCAGATGTAGTAGTCCTTCCCTTGCTGCTTGGAGGCAGTAGTCCTTCCCTTGCTGCTTGCCCCCTCTCCCAACAACTCGTCTTCAGAGGTACACTGCGCCTGAGCCTTGAGGTTCTATTCCATAGTCGTAGCCCACATCCAGTCCGCCTGCTGTTCATGTGTGTAAGAATGCTTTGGAAACTGTTTTGACCCCTTTTTATTTTTGGCAGTCTCATTTAATGTTGAATTAAAAAAGCAAATCTGCATATTTTTAAAAAAAAAAGTGGGCATATAATATTTGTTCATGTCTTGCGGCTCTCAAACATCTGACATTTATTCTGTGTGGCTCTTACGCTGAGCAAGGTTGACCAACCCCTGCTCCATTTGTGTCTCCCCCCCCCCAAATGCTTGAACATCGTAAAGCCTGCCATAAGAAAGCGCCACCCATTTGAAAGGCGAATCCACAATGGGAAATAAGGATGCCCGGCCTGCTTGGTACCTTCTGTGCCCCTGACCCAAACATTGGGCTTGGCCAATGGGTGCCGGGGGGGCGGGGAGGGATAACCAGCCCCCATGCCCCCCTCCCTCCCCCCAACCCCTCTGAGACGGCTGGGAAACTGGACTGCCCCATGGAGAATCCCGAGCCTTTTCAAGTGTTCGCTAGAAGCTGTCCCAGTTGGCAGCAGAGGAGAGGATCCAAAGCCACAGTTTTAAATGACACGCAGAAAGGGTATCGGCCAGATATTAGGAAACACTTTTTCATGGCCAGAGTTGTTCAGAGATGAAATCCGCTGCCCAGGGAGGTGGTGAGCTCCCCTTCACTGGCAGCTTTCAAGAAGAGGCTGAATATTTCTCAGGGATGCTTTAGGCTGGTCCTGCGTTGGGCAGGGGGTTGGACTAGATGGTCTCTGTATGGCCCCTTCCAACTCGTATGATCCTGTGATTCTCTAAGAGGGAGTGTTGATGAGCCCAAGGTCTTCTGCATCTCCTGTGCCTCCCCCGGTGGATCGGGCCCACCCTGGCCCACCGAGAGAACTGGGCAGAGAAGCAGAGAGGACTTCTTCCACCCCAGGAGGAGCCCCGGGGGTGTGGGATCCTCTGGTCCCAGGGCTGTGCCAGAAAGATTCGGGAGAGCCAGAGCCACTGCAGACCTCTGGGGTTCCGCCCCGGCGTCTGGTGTTCCATTTTTTTAAATATCTATATATATATATAAGCTTTATTGTATTTAATACAAATACATTCGTAACCGATGTCAATTACAAGCATAGCGAAAAAGCACTAACATTCGCCTTGTACAGACATCCTTGGAGCCTATAACAAAGAACAATTGCAGACATACATGTCTTATAACATAAAACAGTTGATGCAACAAATAGCAAAAAACAGTTATGGAATTTGTAACATAGAACAGTTATTGATATAGTAATACAACCAGGGCTATTTTTGTAGAAAAAGCCCAGCAGGAACTCATTAGCATAATAGGCCACACCCAACAGTAGAAACTCATTAGCATATTGGGCCACACCCCTGACAGCAAAACAGTATTAATATACAATATTAATCGCTTCAAGAATATGTTCCGATTCCTTATGTGAAGCGAAGTATTCAAGAACCAGAAACCAAATTTTAACAAAATTCAAGTTATACCGATCGGAATCTCCTGGTGACATAGAATCTGCTAGCTTGTCCATTATGCAATATTCCTGGATTTTCAAAAACAAATCAGATATAGTGGGTCTTTTGTCATTCTTCCAAAATCTAGCTATAACTGCACGGGCAGCTGCACAGAGTATTAGTTGAAGCATATGACTAAGTCGTATAGCTTTTGGCCAGTGATTTAGTATTAAAGGTTCCATTTCCATCGGGATCTCTAGATTAGTTATGTCGTAAATTTGTTTTACAACCGATTTCCAAAAGTTTCTTATAACACGACAGTCCCACCAGCAATGTCTATAGGTGCCTAGTTCTTGGCATCCTCTCCCGCAGTATGGTGAGGCACCTTTTTCAATATAGCTCAGTTTTTGAGGGGTTAAATACCACCTAGTGATTACCTTGAGGTATTGAGTGCGAATGTATATGCTTTTCGTCTGGTGTTCCATTCGGGGGGAGGGGGACAGATCCCCTCCATGCCACTGGGGGTCTTGGACAATGAGCAAGTCTGGTTCCAGACCCGTAACCAGTTGGTGGGGGCGGGAAGTGCAGTCAAGACGCAGCCGACGTATGGCTACCCTTCACGGGGTTTTCAAGGCAAGAGACATTGGGAGTGGTTGGCCGTGGCCTGACTCTGCGTAGGGACCCTGGACTTCCTGGGTAGTCTCCCAGCCACGTACTAACCCGGGCTGAGCTTCTGAGATCTGACGAGATGTGGCTGGGCTGTCCAGGCCAGGGCACAAGCTTCTTAGTCCTGGAAAGCTGATCTATGCTTGCAGTGGAAAAGAACCAGAGTCCAGGAGCACCGGAAAGACTAGCACAGTTTGTGGCAGGGGAGGAGCTTTCGGGAGTCACCGCTCACTTCTTCGGGTACAGCTAGAACGTGAGTCCATCTGTCCTTCTATCTTGGAGAGTGGAGTGATTTCAGAAGCCGAATGACATTTGCAGGCGAATGACAATAGTAGGCGCGATTGGATTAGGTGTGATCTGCAGAGGGGTAGCAGGCATGGAGAACTCAGCATTGGTAATGAGACAGGAAACCTAGGTCTCGATTCAGTCCAAGTGGATGCATTGTCTTGAGCTTTGTTATCAGTTGCAATTCAGCAGTCTTTTGCAAGCGTGTGGGGAGAATTGTGCAGCATCAAGGGCGCATTCAGAGCCAACACACAGGCCATGAGCAAATCACCTGTGGCTCCCCCCCCCTTCGTACCACAAAGCAGCCACCATTGCAGCTGGGGGGATCTTCCACCAGCTCCTCCCACCTTTCCCCTATAATCAAACATTAGAGAATCTCACAGCTATGACTCTGTAATGTGATATTAAAAACATAACCCAGTGCAGCACTGTGATCTCCATGGTGACTGAAGGGAACCTCCACGTTCAGCAAGAGTCAGCCGCTGAATCCCAGAGCCAGGAGGCAATAGCAGGGGAAGGCCTTGGCCCCTATGCCCTGTTCTTGGACCTCCAGAGGAACTGGTTGGCTGCTGTGTAAGATAAGATGCCGGACTAGATGGACCCTCAGTGGTCTGATCCAGCAGGGCTCTTCTGATGTTCTTCTCAGGGGAAAGCCTTGGCCTCTCTGCCCTGTGGTTGGCCCTCCAGAGGAACTGGCTGGCCACTATGTGAGACGGGATGCTGGACTAGAGGGACCCTCAGTGGTCTGCTCTTGGCCTCTCTGCTCTGTTGTTGGCCCTCCAGAGGATCTGGTTGGCCGCTGCATAAGACAGGATGATGGACTAGATGGACTTTTGTTCTGATACAACCCGGGCTCGTCTGATGTTCTTCTCGGGGGAAGACCTCAGCCTCTATGCCCTGCTGTTGGCCCTCCAGAGGATCTGGTTGGCCCCTGTGGGAGATAGGATGCTGGACTAGATGGACCCTCACTGGTCTGATCCAGCAGGGCTCTCCCGGTGTTCTTATGAAGGCCTCAGCCTCTATGCCCTGTTTTTGGCCCTCCAGAGGCTGGCCGCTGTGTGAGACAGGACGCTGGACAAGACAGACCCAGTCACTGGTCTGATTCTGCAGGAATCTTCTGATGTTCTTCTCAGGGGAAGGCCTCGGCCTCTGTGTCCTGTTTTTTGCCCTCCAGAGGAACTGGCTGACCACTGTGTGAGACAGGATGCTGGACTAGATGGACTTTTGTTCTGATCCAACCCGGGCTCTTCTGATGTTCTTCTCGGGGGAAGACCTCAGCCTCTATGCCCTGCTGTTGGCCCTCCAGAGGATCTGGTTGGCCCCTGTGGGAGATAGGATGCTGGACTAGATGGACCCTCACTGGTCTGATCCAGCAGGGCTCTTCTGATGTTCTTAATTCATATTTGAGATTCTGAATGAATCTTCAGGTGAACTTTTCCAGAGGCCCCTTAATCTTAAAAGTATGGACCCGGAGTCCTTGGGGGAGGAATTCTCCAGTGTCCATGGAGCACTTTTACTGCGATCCCTAAGCTGTAGTATCAGGGATGTGCAGAGCCATTGCACGTTAAAAACAAATTCTCTGGTGTTCAAGGACATGGGGGGGGTGAGAATAAATTGGGGCGGGGAAAGGGTCGTCCCCAACCCGATTCCCCCTCAATATTTCTCTCAAAAGTCGGAAGGAGGCCTTGCCCGACCCAACCGCCCTTTGCTTCTCTCTTGTCTTTCAGCGGCACTGGCAAGCACCCACTTCATCTCTGCAGGAGCCCTGGGACAGTTTCAAGGTAAACATAAAATGGGGAGGGGGGGCACAAGGGTGAATTGCCAGTTTCACTGAATTCCCCCCCCCCTTGCAAACTGTGGCAGGACTCAGTAGCCAGTTCCTCTGGAGGTCCAAAACAGGGCAGAGAGGCCGAGGCCTTCCCCTGATAAGAACATCAGAAGAGCCCTGCTGGGTCAGACCAGGGAGGGTCCCTCTAGTCCAGCCTCCTGTCTCACACAGTGGCCAACCAGTTCCTCTGGAGGGCCAGACCAACAGGGCACAGAGGCTGAGGCCTTCCCCTGGTGTTTCCTTCCTGCACTGGGATTCAGAGGATGACTGCCTCTGAATGTGGAGGTCCCAGTCAGTCACCAGGGCTAGTAGCCACTGATAGACCTCTCCTCCATCAATCTATCCAGAGGTGAGGCCTGACTCATAACTGCTTCTACAGAACAAGGCTCGGTTAGTCTCAAAGACGCCACTTGATTTCCGGTTCGCTTTGAGTGATACCCGTGCCAGAGTTGAGGCCAGTAAAGAAGCAACAGGAAAAGATTTGGGGACGATAAAAGGAGAAATGGAGCAGATTATATCAGGGAATTGGAGTTGGGGGGAAGGTTGGACGGAGCAAAGGTGAGGGGGAGAGACACCTTGTCCCTAACAGAGCTCACTGGAGCCCACACAGAAGCACACCAGTCTTTCTAGTGAAGTGGGGGAGCTCACCCACCTCCCTCAGCAGCCGATTCCACTGCTGAACTACTCTGAATGCAAAAAAAATAAGTTTTTCCTAAGATCCAGCCAGTACCTTTCCACCCATAATTTAAACCCATTCTTGCGAGTCCTCTCCTCTGCTGCCCACAGGAACAGCTCCCTGCCCTCCTCTGAGTGACAGCCCTTTAAAAAAGACTCCAAGAGAGCCATCCTGTCCCCCTTCAACCTCCTCTTCTCCAGACTGAACATCCCCAAGAAGTCCCTCAGCCTTTCCTCACAGGGCTTGGTCTCCAGGCCCCCGATCATCCTTGTTGCTCTTCTCTGCACTCACTCCGTGCTGTCCTTATCTTTTTGAAGTGAGGCCTCCAGAACTGCACACAAGACTCTAGGTGTGGCCTGACCAATGCAATGTGCAGTGGGACCATGACATCTTGTGGTTTGGATGTTATGCCTCTGTTGATATAGCCCAAGATTGCATTAGCCTTTTCTGCCACAGCATCACACTGACTGCTCATATGTAGCTTACAGTCCACCCATACTCCAAGATCTTGTTCTTGCACATGCTACCCAGAAGTAGGTCTCCCATCCAATAGGCATGCTTCTCATTTTTGTTACACAGGTGTAGCACTCTGCACTTATCCTTGTTAAACTGTATCTTGTCCACATCTGCACGCATTTCCAGTGTGTTCTGAGCTCGTTGAATTCTATATCTGCTGGTGTGTTGGTTACTCCTCCCTATTTGGTGTTATCTGCAAATTTAATCCCTCCACCCCCTCATCAGATCATTTATTAAAATATTGGAAAGTACCGGGCCCAGAACCCAGTCCTGCGGCACCCCACTAGACACCCCCGTCCATTCAGAGGAAATGCCATGGACAACTCCTCTTTGAGTGCGGTTCTCCAAATTATATCAGGGAATTGGAGTTGGGGGGAGGGTTGGACGGAGCAAAGGTGAGGGCGAGAGACACCTTGTCCCTAACAGAGCTCATTGTAGCCCACACAGAAACACACCAGTCTTTCTAGAGAAGTGGGGGAGCTCACCCACCTCCCTCAGCAGCCGATTCCACTGCTGAACTACTCTGACTGCAAAAAAAATAAGTTTTTCCTAAGATCCAGCCAGTACCTTTCCACCCATAATTTAAACGAGTCCTCTCCTCTGCTGCCCACAGGAACAGCTCCCTGCCCTCCTCTGAGTGACAGCCCTTTAAAAAAGACTCCAAGAGAGCCATCCTGTCCCCCTTCAACCTCCTCTTCTCCAGACTGAACATCCCCAAGAAGTCCCTCAGCCTTTCCTCACAGGGCTTGGTCTCCAGGCCCCCGATCATCCTTGTTGCTCTTCTCTGCACTCACTCCGTGCTGTCCTTATCTTTTTGAAGTGAGGCCTCCAGAACTGCACACAAGACTCCAGGTGTGGCCTGACCTATGCAATGTACAGTGGGACCATGACACCTTGTGGTTTGGATGTTATGCCTCTGTTGATATAGCCCAAGATTGCATTAGCCTTTTCTGCCACAGCATCACACTGACTGCTCATATGTAGCTTACAGTCCACCCATACTCCAAGATCTTGTTCTTGCACATGCTACCCAGAAGTAGGTCTCCCATCCAATAGGCATGCTTCTCATTTTTGTTACACAGGTGTAGCACTCTGCACTTATCCTTGTTAAACTGTATCTTGTCCACATCTGCACGCATTTCCAGTGTGTTCTGAGCTCGTTGAATTCTGTATCCGCTGGTGTGTTGGTTACTCCTCCCTATTTGGTGTTATCTGCAAATTTAATCCCTCCACCCCCTCATCAGATCATTTATTAAAATATTGAAAAGTACCGGGCCCAGAACCCAGTCCTGCGGCACCCCACTAGACACCCCCCTCCATTCAGATGAAATGCCATGGACAACTACTCTTTGAGTGCGGTTCTCCAACCAGTTCCCTGTTCACCTAACAGTCCTAGAGTCCAGTCCACAGTCCTCTAGTTTACCCATCAGAACATCCTGGGGAACCCTGCCCAACGCTTTACTGAAATCCAAGTGAACAACGTTGACAGCGTTCCCACGATCCAGTAGATCCGTCACTCGATCAAAGCAGGAGACGAGGTTGGTCTGGCAGGACCAGTTGGGGACAAATCCATGCTGACTTCCTCGGATCACCAGATTGTCCTTCAGATACTCGCAAATTGACCCTGTATAGAAATATTGATTTCTAAAAGCCTCCTGCCTTCTCCTGTTCTGTCTTCTGATAACAGGCTGTGCCTTATTTCCTGTTACCAGCCAAATGGTGGGCCCCATGGCCTCAATTGCCATGCCATAAACCCACATTCTTCACACTTCCATGCTAGAAGCTAGACTGTGAGGCACCCCACTAGGCCCACATGCAAGAAGTCACGTAGCCGATGGAGAAGCTGGAGTTTGGGGCCATGTGACTGCAGGCGTGGTCTCAAGCTCTTTTTCAAGAACAGCTCTTATCAGAACTACGGCTTGCCCAAGGTCATCCAGCCAGGTGCAAGTGGAGGAGTGGGGAATCAAACCCGGTTCTCCCAGATTAGAGTCCACACACTTCAGCACTACACCAAACTGGCTGAAATACAGGAGGCAGTTAGAACCACCCTCTCTGCTAATTGCAGTGATCGGCTAGAAGTCGTATTCTTCTGATCTCCCAGCCTGGAAAGTCTACTGTATACCTGCCTTGGAGATCTGCTCTTATTCCCCGCAGCCCAGACTGACAGCTGGGGGAGGGGTGCAGTCGGCTTCTTTCTCCCCTTGCCCCAAAGTGAGAACGCTCCTAGCACGTGTAACAGCCAAGTGACAGCCACGTGGGCACCTTATTCCCTTCCGTGCCACAGGGTGAGGTTTGGTTTTTTTTAGTCTTCCATGATAATTTTCTGCCCCGAAGCATTCCTCCCCTTCTCAAACCAAGCTGATTACATTTTGCAGTATCGCTGCAGTTAAAATGGCAACTGACACATGACACGTGAAACCACTTTGCACTGAATCAGAGCGCTGGTCTGTCAAAGTCGGCACTGCCTACCGAGACTGGAAGCAGCTCACCAGGGTTTCAGGCAAAGGTCTTTCACATCATCTACTGCAGAGGTGTCAAACTCATTTGTTACGAGGGCCGGATCTGATATTAAATGTCTCTTTGCCGGGCCGGGCCACGTGCGCCATAAAATGTTATGCCAGGTACCGGAGATAGAAACTGTATAAAGGACAGCAGCTGGTAAGCTCTGAGTCGGTGTGTCCTCAGTGCAAGGCCCTCTGGGGTGGGAGTAGAGATGTAAAGTTTCCGGAAATTTTGAAGCTCGGGGAAAAACCCAGGGTTTTTTTCGGGGGGGGGGACGGAATTTTTTGGAAAAATGGGGGGAAATGCTACATTAGCACTTCTTTTTTCTTTTCCAGATTGAAAGTCATTCTGTTACTTTAGGAACATACAATATGACTATGGACAATTTTACTTGGCATGAAATTACCACAAGCATATTAAAATAGTGTATCCAAACAATTATTGTGGGTGGGTGGGGGGAAGTAAAGAACCAGATTAGTAGTAATTAAATTATTATTTTCACAAAGGTTATAAAGATAAACTAATGTAGCTAAATGATTCAGTTTTCTGGAATCAGATAAATGAAAACTCTTCACCTTTTTAAATTAAGTATATACTTTCAGGTCCTTTTTGTTGCTCTGTATTTTCTTCCAATGATTTGAGACCTAGTGAAGCCTGAGAGCCAGTATACCCACCCACATGCAAAAAGAAAACTGAAACCTTTTTATTTTCTTGTGTCAACAGCACCTCCTAAAGGAAGAAATGCATCTTGTCCTTGCATTGGAGAGTTCAGTTTGTAACCTAGGACTTGCTTGTCCTCAGTGCACGGAAATTAGATCAGTCTGATACCATACATATTTCTTAGAAATGATTTGGAAAATATTTGAACACCTTGTTCTGAAATATTTTATTCATCATGTTAAAATAAAATGTTCCATAATCAATTTTTTCCCCTTTTCTTTTTTCAATTTTTCAGAAAAAAACAAAAAAGCCTTCAGGAAAAAAACAGGGAAAACACGTTCCCCCCCCTGAATTTTTCCGGTTTTTTCCCGGGCCTTCACATCTCTAGGGACCTGTCCCCCTGCCACCCCTTAACTCCAGAGAGGAATTTTTAGGAACTGGTTTCTTGCTTTCGTTCCCCGGCCCAGATCTTTGCAAAACAAAGAGATGGGCTAAGCCTAAGCAGTGTGTGTGTGGTGTGTGGTGTGTGTGTGTGTGTGTGTGTGTGTGTGTACTGGATGAAACCTAGGTATTCTTACAAGAAACAACACAAATACAGAAAAATAAAGTCACAGTAGTACAGAGAAGTAAAGTCCCAAAAATATCAATGTGTCTCACTCCTGTTGTATTATAATTTCATAGCCCAACTCGACATGCATACATCATGGAGTGGACTCATGTAGTTCCAGGAGGATCCAAATAATCTTGAAATCCACAAGCCATCAGCGACGCGTAGTCCGGATGCAAGCTGCCGCGTTTCAAATGATTCTTTTTCAACTCCCGAAGGCTACAGTGGGACCCAATCTCAGTAGTAGTGCCGGCAGAAATCCGTTTAATCAGTCACAACTACATGAGTCCACTCCATGATGATGTCTGCATGCCAAGTTGCACTCTGAATTTAGGCAGATCCTGAGCAGGAGGGGATGACAGGGAAAGAAAGAGGGAAACGAAAACTTTAAAAAAAAAACACCCAAAAAATGAATTAAGAACCCGAAAGGTTAAATGAATACAAATTAGGGGGCCTAATGTTTAAAATCAATAAATATACAATGTAAGTATTACAGATTATCGAAAATACATTGCACCATTTTGGTTATATGTACCTTATTTGGGCACAAGGCAATGGCACATGAGGCTTCTACAGGACCTCCTTGCCTTGTGTCTTTGACGTTTATCAGAACATAATTTCCTCTTGGTCCTCCGATATTGATTAATATTAGCGTTGCCGTAATTGAGCCGATGGGCAACATTTATGCTTGACCACTGAAGAAGGCCGATAGGCCGAAACGCGTCTGTTTTAGGGTTACATGAGGTCCCAACTGTACATATTGTACAATTTATAATTCTTATTGAGGCTATATTTGGGCCTCTGATTGTTTTTATATTAATTTGTAATAAATGCATGTATTTTTGATGATTTGTAATATTTGGGCAGGAAGGGGTGAGCCAGTGGTCAGCTCTCACGGCCCTTTCTTATTGGGGGGCTGTGGCTCCGTGGTAGAGCCTCTGCTTGGCATGCAGAAGGGTCCCAGGTTCAATCCCCGGCATCTCCAATTAAAAGATCGTGATGTGAAGACCTCCGCCTGAGACCCTGGACAGCCACTGGCAGTCTGAGTAGACCATACTGACTTTGGTGGACCAAGGGGTCTGATTCAGTAGAAGGCAGTTCCATGTGTGTGTTCGTATTCACCCAGGGAAATACCGATCGCCACTTTGGGGTCAGGAAGGAATTTTCCTGCAGGCCAGACTGGCCCAGGGATCCGGGAGGTATTTTGCCTTCCTCCGGGCATAGGGCAGGAGTCCCTGGTGGGGAGTGGGGGGGGGAGTAGTTATCAGTTTCCTGCATTGTGCAAGGAGTTAGACTAGATTACCCTTGGGGTCCCTTCCAGCTCTGCAATTTTATGTTTCTCCTTATTAAGCTCCACTAGAAACGGGTCCTGTTTTTAAAATCTTTTATGTAAGCCGCCCTGAGCCATGCCTCGGCGGGAAGGGCGGGGTAGAAATCCAATAAATAAATAAATCAGCAGCCCCAGTTGCCGGACGGAAACCGATGTAGTATCGACTCCACCACTAGAGGGAGCAGAACAGATCAAGATGGGTCACCGTTGTCAGTCTGTCTGTAGCAGTAGAAAAGAGCAAGAGTCCAGGAGGACCTTAAAGACCAACGGATTTTGTGGCAGGGGAGGGGCTTTCCTGGGTCCCTTCTGCAGAGAAGATGAGCAGTGAGTGACCCCCTCGCAAGCTCCTGTGCTGCCGCAAATTTTGCTGGTCTTTAAGAGACTCCTTGACTCTTGCTCATTTCTACATGGGGAACAGAACCCCCATCCCCTGAAGGAACAGGAACTTACAAGTAAGGAACGTGGGAATGGAGAAAAGCCCACAGTGAGGAGGGCCCTGATCTGCCACAGTTCCTCCAATTGCTCCTAACACTCAGGCCTTGAGCCTGTACGATCCGCTGGCCCCAACTTACATCAAGCCCCTTCAGCCAGTTTGGTGTCGTGGTTAAGTGTGTGGACTCTAATCTGGGAGAACCGGGTTTGATTCCCCACTCCTCCACATGCAGCTGCTGGATGACCTTGGGCAAGCCATAACTCTGGCACAGCTGTTCTTGAAAAAGAGCAGATTCTGTCAAGAGCTCTCTCAGCCCCGCCTACCTCACAGGGTGTCTGTTGCAGGGAGGGGAAGGAAAAGGAGTTTGTAAGCCGCTCTGAGACTCCTTCGGGTAGTGAAGGGCGGGGCATAAATCCAATCTCTTCTTCTTCTGTGTTGAGTCAGAAACACGTCCCCCTGAGGGCAGTGGTTCCTGCTCAAAAGTAAGCATGCACAGGATTGTAGCCCCAAACAGGTTTGCCTTCGGAAGCCATCGCAATGTGGGAAAGTCCAGTCCGAGGGCTGCAAGGGAGCCCGGGCCCACCCTTTTCTTCTCTCCCTCCCCTCTGCCTGCAGACTCTGCCTTGGAGCCCTGCGGAGAAGGTCGCCCGGAACATCGGTCTTCGCTTCCGTTTTGCACATGATCTGAAGGACGTGCCCCCTTCCTCTCCCTTTGGCTTCTCGCCCTCGAAGGACCAGGCCTCTGAGGTCTGGAGACGCCGGACTCACCTCTCCCCAAAGACACGCCTTCCCTGCATTTGAGAGGGGGGACTTTCTGAGAGACTGAGGGAAGCCCCTTCCGCAAGCAGGAAAACTTGAACCTGGGGGGGAGGGGAGGGAGGGGGCAGCGAGGAGCGCCAGCCATCCTGGCCCCGGGTTCGGATCATACAGCTAAACCTCCACGCCAAAGATGCGCCCTTGAACCGGCTTCGTACCCACAGCGCTCTGCGGCCGACTCCTGGATATGGAAGTGCGTGGAAAGGAAGCAGCTGGGGAGGGGGGAGGTCATGAACCTGCGGCCGGGGGGGATGCCTCCCTTGCCCCCCCCCACCCCCCAGAAGATTTGCTGAGTCCTCGGCCAGGCCCAACAAGGAAAAGAGGGCAGGAGTCATCCGACACGTCACCCGCTCACCCACCCCCCGGCAAACTGGCGACCCCAAGACTTGTGCTTCAAGAGCTGGGGGGCAGGGGGGGGAGCAGTGTTTTTTTTAAAAAAGAGACTCTTAGCAGCATCACTCACGATCCGGAGCACGTTGCCTCCCCGAGAGGTGGCTGGACGACGCCCCCTCCGTTTGTTAACTGCGTCCATTCCGTTTATACAAAGGAACCCCTCGGTTTGTGTATTGGTCTTATTAATGGGGGGTGGGATGAAAACATACTGGGGACCGTAGCGCCACTGAAATGCCCGCCCCCCTCGCCCCTTCCCCCCTTCCTTTTTCAGACCCCCCCTCCTGCCCCTCCCACCGTCTTGTTTTGTAAGGCTCCGCCTCCCTCTCGCTCTCCCCGCCTCTTCCTTCCCGCCCTGCCCACTCCCCCTCGTCTCTCTCTGGTTCAAAGTGCAGTATTTAATACCGTACATCCTGTTAGTCCAAACGACGATATGCTGTATTTGAACTTTTTATAGATGTATATAAAAAAATTTCCAAAAAAAAAAATCACACACACGCACATCCTGGGGAAAAAAATGTGCATATACACACTTGGGACAGAGGTTGTTCATTAAATGTGACCGTTTCATTATGACCTTTGTTAGCGTGGTGACTGGGAGGTGGTGGGCGTGTCTTCCCCTAGAGGTCTTCAGTTCAGGCGTTCAGAACGGAGCCGTCCATAGACTTATGAATGCCGGTTGAAGAGGGAATTTGAAATGGCAGCTATGATCCGTCTTTGGGCCAGGACTCGCCCCAAAATCTGTTTCACTCTAGCTCAGTGCAGCAGGGGTCCCGAACCTTTTCGAGCCTGGGGGCGCTTTTGGAATTCTGACACAGCATCATGGATGCGGCCACAAAATGGCTGCCCCGGGAGGCGGAGCCAGCCACAAGACGGCTGCCGCAGCTTACCTTCAATCACTTGGTGAAGATCTTTGTGTTGTGGTGGCAGCTGTTGCCCAAGCAACATTTTTTAAAAAACTATTTATTTATTTATTAGTTTTATTTATATCCCGCCCTCCCAAAGGCTCAGGGCGGCTCACATGCGGCAAAGCCGAGTGCAAAATACAATACAATATATAATAAATAAAACATTTAAAATCACAATAAAACCTTCCAATAGTATGGGGCTATACCTATATTAATCATGCAAAATGGGGACAATCCCCCCCCCCAGGTCTGCACAGCCAATCAAATCCCCAGTGGCCAATGAAAACCCTTGCTGGGTAGAAGCCCCACATGGCCCGCCCACTTTCTCAAACCATTTGTTGGGCAGCAGAAAGAGTTCTGGCGGGCACCATGTTGAGGGGCCCCTGGCTTAGTGTTAGATAAGGTTGCTAACTGCCCTGGAGGAAAAAAATCCCTGTCTGTTTCATCGTGGCTTCATGGTAATGTGGGCTTTTTGCCTCCCTAACATGAAAAGCATCTGCTGCCCGTTTAATGCATTAATCCTCTGTCGGGGGGACCAGACCTTTCCCTTCAAGATCAGTTGGCAACTCTCGCCCCAAGAGGACTGACACAAAAGAGCCTCTTATCTCTTGCTGCCCTGGGACTGCCGTTCGAGCTACTGAGGGGCAACGCAGCCAAGGCAGGGTACGGCAGAATCAGATGCCCCATGTGAGGGGGTCGTGATTGGTGGGGTGGACGTCCACCGTCTGAGAGATAGGAACCATCCCAAATTCAGTCCGGGCGTCTGCAGCCAAAAAGACTCTGCAGACTATGCCAGAGTACCAGCTGTCGGGGGGGGG